TGTGCTGGTTCGTTGTCTATGTTCCCTCGTGTTCTTCTTGATGCCTGCCTGAGTTCTCTCCTGTTTTCCCCCCACGGGGTTGTTTTGTTTGTAAGTTTGTTTTGTTTATTAAATAAATTCCGTTCACGCACATGAATCCTCGCTTCCTGTTGTACCCATTCCGTGACAGAACGAACCAGCCAAGATGAGGATTCAGCGGAAGGATTCACACCAGCCACCAGTCTCTCCTATTTCCTGCCCGCGTTATGAACGCATTATTAGGTTCACCGCCTTGAGTTCCCTTCGACAGAAGGGGACGAATGTGAGAGACTTTGCTCTAGAATTCAGCTCCGCTGCAGAGGGGCTGGGGCTGGGTGAGATGGCCCTTAAGGACCTGTTTAATTACGCCCTTGAGGAGCCTGTTGATGTGTGGACAATGACAGGGCTGGAGCGCTTGACGTTCTGGAGATTCGTTGACTTTCTGGAACGACGAGAGAACCCTCCAGTGAGGCAAACTACAGCGGTCCCAGTGGACCTCGGAGAACCTGCAGCGGTTCCAGAGGCGGAAAGCTTGGCGCCACCACCTCGCCATCAGACACGGCGGAGGAGGAGGAAGCGGGAGCCAACTGTCCCCCAAGTCCCGGAGGCCGTCCCTGAGCAGCCCGCTGTCGTCCCGGAGGCCGTCCCTGAGCAGCCCGCTGTCGTCCCGGAGGCCGTCCCTGAGCAGCCCGCTGTCGTCCCGGAGGCCGTCCCTGAGCAGCCCGCTGTCGTCCCGGAGGCCGTCCCTGAGCAGCCCGCTGTTGTTCCAGAGATGCCCACTCTCCCTATTGAACCGCCAGTGGGGATCAGAGAGGCTGCAGCACGGCAGAGACCTCGCAAACGGAGGAGGAGGAGGAGGAGGAGAGGGGCGTCTGCGATCCCACAGGGCTTGGAAGCCATCCCCAAGCGTCTCGCCCTGCCGGCGCCACCCAAGCGTCTCGCCCTGCCGGCGCCACCCAAGCGTCTCGCCCTGCCGGCGCCACCCAAGCGTCTCGCCCTGCCGGCGCCACCCAAGCGTCTCGCCCTGCCGGCGCCACCCAAGCGTCTCGCCCTGCCGGCGCCACCCAAGCGTCTCGCCCTGCCGGCGCCACCCAAGCGTCTCGCCCTGCCGGCGCCACCCAAGCGTCTCGCCCTGCCGGCGCCACCCAAGCGTCTCGCCCTGACGGCGCCACCCAGACGCCTTGCCCCGCCGGCGCCGCCCAAGCACGTCACGTCTGCCGATCCAGACACTGTTCACGTCACGTCTGCCGATCCAGAGACTGTTCACGTCACGTCTACCGATCCAGAGACTGTTCACGCCAAGTCCGCCGAGCCAGTGTCTCCGGACAAGATGGCTGCCGCCGAGCCTGTGTCCGCTTCTGTTCCTGAGCCGGTGTCTGCTTCTGTTCCTGCGCCATGGCCGCCCAAAGGGTCGTCTCCGCCATGGCCGCCCGAAGGGTCTGCCCCGTCTCGGTCGCCTGCACAGCCTGGTCCACCCTGGTCGTCTCCACCAAGGCCACTCGAAGGGTTCCCTACGCCATGGCGGCCCGAATGGGGTTCACCGCCATGGCCGTCTGAACGGGCTTCACTGCCCTGGTCACCTGCTCAGCCGGATCCGCCCTGGTCGCCTGCACAGCCGGATCCGCCCTGGCCACCTGATGGACTGTCTGAGCCACCCTGGTCTTCAGCCTGGAGTCGGGACCCGCCCTTACCCCCCTGGCTCAACCCTCCCGTCCCTCCCTGGCTCCCATCCCTCCCTCCCCTCTCTGTGTATGTGTTCTGATCTGCTTGTCTTGTCTGCTCTTTGGTCTTGCACGTTTGATGTTCTTGTCTTGTTTTTGGTGTCCCTCCTTGGGAACGCCAGGTGGCGTTCCTTTGAGGGGGGGTAGTGTCACAGTTCTGTCACCCTTGTCTGGGTTTTCTCTTGGTATAGTGACAGAGCTGTGACACTCCCGGTTTGTCATGTGTTTGTGTTAGTCTGGTCTGTTGTGAGCACATGGCTGTCATGTTATTTCCTTGTGCCATGTGCTCTCCTGTCAATTGTCAAACCCCGCCCATCTTGTTATCTCATTATTGTTTAATGTCCTTCACCTGCCTGCCTCGTTATGTTCCTTTGTTTGTTCCCTATTTAGTCTCCCTGTGTTTGCAGTCCTGTGCTGGTTCGTTGTCTATGTTCCCTCGTGTTCTTCTTGATGCCTGCCTGAGTTCTCTCCTGTTTTCCCCCCACGGGGTTGTTTTGTTTGTAAGTTTGTTTTGTTTATTAAATAAATTCCGTTCACGCACATGAATCCTCGCTTCCTGTTGTACCCATTCCGTGACACATACATTTGTGGTCAAGATCTTGTATTGACAATGCAAGAGTTCAGCACTCAGCAAAGTCTCTTCCACCACATCCCAAAGACTTACAATGAACTTCCAACAATTCTTTTACAATTTGAGCCTGATGAATCTTGACATTGTCATCCTGGAATATGGCCACAATGTGTCTTCCTACATGGTTGTTGAAGAAATGAAACGCTACAAACTGCATCAATTAGGGTTCGAATAACTGTTGCCAATAACATAAAACGTGATAGAAACATAATAATCACAGCAATCATAGAATCTTTAGCATTTGCCTATTTAAATCCAAACAGCTACTTTTTTTGGCCAGGCAGTGTATATTATACAATGTTTTTGTTTTTTTGTTTTTTCAAAAAATATGTTTCAGCCCCTGGTCAAAGTGTACAGGTTTTGTAATGGATATATAGTGGAATGGAAATATTTCCCAAAATGTAACCAGTGACAAAGAGCAAAAGGTTATGAGTAAATTAAGATAAAGTGTGTGGTTTAAGGGCATGACGACAGCAGTCACAGGAAGCGGCCCAAGCAAGATTTAAACTTCCTGTACTGTTGGGCTTTTAACATTGAGCCACTTCCTGTTGGAGTCAATCCCAGACCACATGCATGAAGCAACTCACTCCTGTTTACTAGAAAATCCTTATCTTACACCCAATGGATCCACTTCCATATTGACTGCAACTTTGCTAAATCAGAGTGCTGGAAAAAAAATATTATTTTTCTTTTAGAAATATCAATGATCCAAGAAGTGTAGTGGAGGAAAATTTAACATCACTCAAATCATGTTGAGTGTCATAACTCGGCATATGTCTAAGGTTTCTTGAAGGAATAAGAGTAGATATCTTTATGCACATCCTGTTTTGTGATATCGCAGCTTCCTGTTTGTGTCCAACCACAGCGCCACAGTATAAAGAACACTTTTAGGCATTTTTCTGCTCTGAAATCCATTCACAAAAACGGGATGATCTAACTATCCTTATCTGCAACATGGGCGGCCATCCAATGTGTAAAGATCGAGTGTGTGCGTCTTTGCATGTTGCACTACTTTTGTCAGTATGAAGGTCTGATAATGACGGTTTGGGTGATTGTTTAATGATTCAGCAGCAGATAATATAAAGGGAAGTGTTTAACTTCACGTTTTTTCCCTATGTTATTCTGGATCAGATATTTTGATAAAACAGAACTCATACACTACCATGCAAAAGTTTACGTTTAAAAAAAAATGTTTTTGAAAGAAGTCTCTTATGCTCACCACGGCTGCATTTATTTTATTTAAAAATACAGTTATAACTGTAATATTATTAAATATTATTACAATTTAAGCTGTTTCTATTGTAATATATTTTAAAATGTAATTTATTCCTGTAATGGAAAAGCTGAATTTTCAGCATCTAGTGTTCAGTTCAGTGTTACACGATCCATGTTGATTGGCTGCTCAAGAAACATTTATTTTGTGTAAACTGTGATGCATTTAGCAGCTTTTGAAATTTGTTCAGTCTTTACTGTAACTTTTGATAATGTAATGCATCCTTGCTGAATAAAAGTATTAATTACTTTTTTTTTTTATCAAAAAACCTTTAAGCAGTAGTGAAAATTATAGAACTGAATTTTTATTTTTGGGTGACCTATATGTTTAAAAAATTCCCTTAATGCTTGTAGGTTTTTGAACTATGTTGTGCCCCCTTAACCCCCTTATCACTACCTGGTCCCTTTAATCAATGTTCATAAACAGGGTCTTGTGGACAAACTCCATGTTTGCCTTGTTAGTAATCTCTGTTCACAAGTGGGTGTATTTGCCTGCCTTTGAACGGACACCTCCATCCCAAAGAGGGACGGTCGATGCTGGAACATGTTGCTTGTTTGCGAGCCATTCCTGTGTCAGTCTTTCTGTCTGATAGCCCTTTGTTGTTTATGAGCCTGTGCGTTAATGTACAACAGAACAGGAAATGCTTGCTGAGTTTGTGGGAGGGCACCCAGGAATGACGTTTTTTGTTCATGCGAGAGTTGAAGAGAGGGAAAAGGGGAAATTAAAGGGAGAAGATGGATTCAGGAGCACGAACACGCGTTCTTTAATGTGGCTGGATTTATACGACTGATGCTCCGGTCTCTCCCATTTCACCACTTCCTGTGAGAAACCTGCATGGATGGTTAAAGGAAAGTTTTTACAAAGCAAACGCAATCGCTCCTAGAAGGATGTCTGATTATCAGATCAAGGCGCCGGTCCGTACACATCCAGACACAAACTAAATTTGGCTTTGCGGTACCACAAGATCTTCCTTCAGATACTCAAACCTTGTTATGGTCATTAAAAAGCGTCCTCATGCCACCTTTTCTTGACCAATAAACAAGCAATGCAAGTAGAGTGTAACCTTGGCTAATTTAAATTAGATAGGCACTTAGTGAAATTACAACACACTCTCACCTCGTTCACATTGCTTTAAATCCGTACCGGAAAAAAACAGCATTGTTACGAAATCTAGCAAGCAGCATTTTGAGGTGCTATTGCGACAGCTGCTCCAAAACTTTGAATACCTAATTTTAGCCAAAATTCTAAGGTAGCAAGACATCAAACTAGGTTTTGTAAAAGAATTTCAGCCTGATTATGATTATTAAAATGTAAACATACTGTTGATATTAATAATGTGACTTCTCTGGTCTAACAGATATGGAGAGTGCCATCACGCTGTGGCAGTTTCTGCTGCAGCTACTGCTGGACCAGAGCCATAAGCACCTGATTTGCTGGACGTCCAATGACGGCGAGTTCAAGCTGCTCAAATCGGAAGAAGTCGCCAAACTTTGGGGCCTACGCAAAAACAAGACCAACATGAACTACGACAAACTTAGCCGAGCACTACGCTACTACTATGACAAGGTTACACACGCTCACATTTCACAAATGACAGCGTCTTTCAGACGTCTGACCAATGATATTCGTCAATCCGATCTCATGAGGAAACTTAACTTACGTGATTTTGTAGAAGTAATTCGTACAGAATTGTACCATTTTTTAGAAGAATCTTAAGCATTAAGGTCCACCCCTTAACCTAACAGTTAGTGGGGCAGATTGTACGAAAACGTATGACTGAGATCGTACGAATTGGCCACCTAATGTAAAACAGCTACAAACTGCAATGAGAGTTTGTTGTAACCATCCTCTTTCTCTTGCAGAATATCATAAAGAAGGTGATTGGTCAGAAGTTTGTGTATAAGTTCGTCTCATTCCCTGATATTCTGAAGATGGATCCCCAAGCAGTGGAGCTCGGTCGGGACGGGGGTCACGTCGCTGGGGGCGTCATGTTACAGGAGGTGGAGTCTGACGGTGAGGGGGAGGAGTCTCCGAAGCTGTCGCTGTCATCGCTGAGAAGTCCCGTCTGTAGGAACGAGTATCTTCACTCTGGTCTGTACTCGTCCTTCACAGTCAGTTCCCTCCAAAGCCCGCCGCTACTGCGTCCAATCAAAACCGAGAAGCAGCGAGGTGGCGAACGAGAGGAGGAGGGACAAACAGTGATTCGGTTTGTCACTAACCGATCAGAGAAGGTCGTTCCCCTCACATCCTCCCCGCCACCTGCATCCGCAGATGTTTTCTTCACTTCGAAATCCTCCCCCTGCTCGTCCCGCAGCCCCTCCCCCACTCATAGCCCCGTCTATATGTTGCGGCAGGGGCGGAGCCCGGAGGCTCGCATAGACGAATCAGAGCAGATCGCTCAGCCTCTAAATTTATCATCCGGCCACAGGGAGCGAGCCCAGAATCAGGCCACGCCTCCCGAGAGGAGGACCGGTAACAACGGACTGCCTCCCAAAGCTCGGAAACCCAAAGGGCTGGAAATCTCCGCCCCTTCCATTTTGCTTTCAGGAAGTGACTTGGGCTCCATCGCCCTCAACAGCCCAGCACTGCCCTCAGGGTCCCTTACGCCAGCCTTTTTCACTGCACAGGTATCAAACTATGTCACATATTCTTGTATTTGTATGTTCACACAGCCTAACACGCATAATACACACATTATACTAATATTTAATTTAATACCAAACATTATTGATAAAGATTGTGCAAATTTAAATGAAAAGTTTTTTGTGCTCTATAGAATATAGTGTTGTTAGCCTAGCAACATGCTAATGTGAATCTCTATTGGAATCAACAGTGAAAAGGCAAGCTAAGCAGTAGATAGCAAGGCAGCAAGGTGTTTGGAAAATAGGTAATATCGGCCTGATTATGAAAATGGAGTCAGTGACTCCCTCTAGTACATTAGACATTTACTTATATTTACCAAAAGTATTAATAAAAGTAGTCTAAGTAAAGATGGACTATGTACTAAATAAGTACAAACTATTTTTATGCTTGGTTAAATCATGTTGTTAGCTAAGCAATATGCTAATTTTGCCCTATTTTGTGTGAGATTGTTGCTGCCTATGTAGAGCTTTCGAATCAGGTTTCATTTAGTTGTTGGCAGCTTTTTAGGTTTTGGAACAGAGCTACAAATGAACTCAAAAACATTCTCTCCGGCACTTTTTATAGGCCTTCAACAGGTAACAAACAGACAGGACACACACCTATACTGGTAATATAGCTATTCTGTGAGATGTTTTGGTCTTTGCTGGGTGTGTAGGGAGAATTGTGTGGCAGGTGGACGGGTTTTTTAAAAAGAGGTAGAATGAGACAGGACGAGGTAAAAGACTAGACAGAAGGGCACAAGCGAGAGAAGAGAAACCTGTAAGTAAAGCCATATGTCCGTAATCTCGCACACTACAGCATAGTGACACGGGACAGAGAAAAACAGAGCGAGAACGTGAAATTGATTTCACATGCTGCCCTATAGCCACAACCTGGTGATCCAAAGTCCATGACCCATGGGAAGCTACATGCTCATGTAGAATTCTCTCTCACTTTCTCTCTTAAAGGGACAGTTCACCTTAAAATTTATTTTCCGTCATCATTTTCTCACCCTCATGACTTTCCAAACCCATACAACTTCAATGCTGACGTGAACACTATCGTATGCTTACAGCCGAACGCATAATCTTTCAAAGTATGCACCATTTGATAGCGTGCACTATTTCGCTCTAGAAGTTTTGACCCAAAACATTTCTTTGTACTCTTATAAACTAGAGCGGGTATCCCTCAACCCCCTCACAAAAAGCAATCATCAATGTGGGCGTGTGTTGTTGTTGTTCTGTCGCATTCGTTTTTTTACGACTGTGAACATCAGGTCGGGCAATGTTGCCACCTTGTGGACCAACTAATTAGTGCAAGAAAATTCAAGGCGCTTGTGCAAACTGAGTATGCACAGTTAGAAAAATGTTTGCTGTGCAGTGTGCACAAGGCGCGTACTATGCTGATGATAACATTTACGGCACACACATTACTCATAGCCTAGCATGCGCATAAAAAGTATACTTTAGGCTTTATTCAGTGGAACACCAAAGGAGAAGTTAAGCCGCTCTTTTCCTTACAACAAGTGAAAATTCATCCAAGGAATTTTTTTTCAGTCTTAAATCTTTTGTTCCTATTGTAGGACTTCAGTCAACTTGTACTTGGTGCCTTTTTGCTGTTTGACATTCCCCAGGCCCTGTTTACACCTGGCATTAAGATGCCTTTTGGTCGATCGGATCACAAGTAAACGACGCTAAATAAAGGTGTAAACGGGGTCTAAAACGTTTTAAGTCTACTTTCGACTACTTCCAGAGGTAGTTAAAAACGCATTAGACCGGATTGCTTTCGTAGTGTAAACCCTCATGTGGTCAAATGTGTTCAAACAGCCACAAAAGACTCTCCGCCTACTGACCTAATGCGTAAACATTATGGGATGTGCTCTAGTCAGACGGGATTTAAACTTTGTCGCCTAAAGACCCAAGCTTGCTTGAAGCCGAAAAACGTACCAAACACAATGTTCTCTCACCATTCCTGATTTCTAACACACACTCGGTGTTCAGCATGGTCTCGTGGCTGTCAGAGCAGAAACAAATGCTACTGCTGTGTTTTTCTGTCATCTCCGGTATCGTTCATATTGCGGAATCTTATTGGTCCATTAGATCGAAGATCTAGATCTGAGAAAGCCCATTCATAGACCCTCCCCTTGAAGAAATCAGGACAGAAGTGGTTCAAAGTTGACAAAAGAGATGGATTAAAACACCAGATGTAAACGGGAATGTGTCTCCCTCGTCTACTTGTGATCCGATCGACCAAAACGCATTTTAATATCAGGTGTTAAACAGGGCACTAGTGACCATCGTCTTTGTTGTATAGAAAAGAGCATTTGGGACACATGTCCACAGAAGACAAAAGTTAAACAGGTTTTGAATGACATGAGGTTGAGCACATGACAGAAGTTTAATTGGGGGTGAACTGTTGCTTTAAACATCCTAAAACAGACAGTTATTTCATAACCCCAGATTGAGCAAAGACTGCTCAGACATATTATCTATGTCCAGGACAGTTGAATTTAAAGAAACTGCATTTGTGCTGCATACCCTTAACGCTGCAAATTTGTCCTGTTCACGAAAAAAATCTGGGACATTTTTAAAGGGGTGCTCAGACTTCTTCCGCATGACAGGCTTCAATGCTATGGCCTTGCCTGCTAAATGAAACACAGACGTGCCTGGACATGCAGAGACTCACATTCGTCTCTCCAAAGTTTCGGGATTTCATGATCCATGACTTCAGTGACTAACTAATACAAATACCATCTCATGTTCCTGTTCCCCCCTTTCACAACACCTTCTTTACTCCTCTCTCTTCAGACTCCCTCTGGATTGCTGTTGACGCCCAGTCCTCTCCTGTCCTCCATTCATTTCTGGAGCAGCCTGAGTCCCGTAGCCCCTCTCAGCCCCGCCAGGCTACAAGGCCACAGTTCACTCTTTCAGGTACGCACAAAACATTCCCAAAACCTTCACCTATAAAAATAGGAATCTGAATGTGAGAATGTGGTTGTTCATTTATTTTGGTTTAGCATTGACATGCGAGCATGTTTTAGAAAGGGATTTGCTTGTGTTTTGCTAGCGTGCGTTTGTGTTTGGTGTCGTGTTTCAGTTTTCATGTGAGCGAGAGGGGAAATCCTGTGGATACTTCCTGTTCTGACCCGAGGGAGAGTGTGTAGGGAGGTGTGTGTGAGCGAGAGAAAAAGACAAAGCAAACTGTATATTTATGCTCATCTTGCTTTTTGAGGGGAGCGTTCCAGTCTTTACTGTAAACATCGCTAGGCAGCAGGAAACCATTATGGTAATCACAGCGACTGCTTGACTCTGCCTTTACAGGAATAGTGACAGTTCTTGATGTGCACTTTTACTACCACACACACACATACACGTACAGACAGATGCGTACACTCACTCCCCCACTCTCACTTCCTCCCTGGGCGGCTGTAGTGGGAGTTTTCTGGTTGGTCACATGACTGTCGTTCCTGACGTTATTGGCTGCGGTGGAAAACTCTTGCTGCTCGTCTGTTTTTTTTTAATTATTTTTTTAAATTCCACTCTTCTTCTTTTCTTATTATTTTCTATACCTGTAAAATAAAGAACTGAAAAAAAGATGCTTTTAAGATGTTTTCGAGTCACTCCGGGAAACGGATTTACTGGTGTATGAGTGTGTGTGTATATTAGGGTTTGGAAATAAGCTACAGATGTTTCCGCTCTGCATTGGATATGGGGGAAAAACAGCTTCCTGTTAAAAAAGGGAGGGGGTGATAACTGAAAAAGACTCTGTCTGTGTGTATAGTCAGCTCTCACATAACAGGAAGTTCCTCTCCTAGCACTACCATGATGCCTTATGACTACGAGTGTGTTTGTTATGTGAGCCACAAAGACAAGCTTTTTTTTTGTGGGGAGAAAAATGTGTTAGGGAAGATATTTAGGAACTTAAAAAAAATACTCCGGTCATATTTCACCTAAAAATCTAAAGAAATACTAAATAAAATGCTTTTTTTGTATTTTGACTTTTTTGGTAAATTTATGAAGTCCAATTGTAACTTCACAATTTGTTGTACTGAATTTAATTTATGGTTTTAAAAATAAGAATAATAAAGTAAATAATTTAATCATTAAATCATCACAATGCTAAAATTGGTCCCACAGGCTTACTTTTGTTTCTTTATAACACACACCTGGGCATTTCTTTATTAGGTTCAACCCAATAATGTCAACATACAAACACTACTTACTAAATAAATAAAAGGAAATATCAGGTAGTATTTAACCTCAAAATAAAATAAAAAATTATAACAACATTAGTAATAATGATAATAATAATATATTGCTTATTAAAAACTACATGGACATTTCTTAATAAGATTTGCCCATTAAGATGTGAACTTATTTGTCCCGGTCAAGTTCCTATTACCATTAGACGACACTTCCTGATACAATTATTTGCATGTGTTTTTTAAACACTAAGAAGCATTTGCGTCACAGTTACTATATGAACACATTGTGATTCAGTATGTGTGGCATTACCTCAATGTTCTGTTTGCTTTCTGACTCTCTCACAGTTCCCCACCCTGTTGAACGGGCCGCTCCCGGTACCCCTCCCCAACCTGGACTCCTCCTCCCTCCTCCTGTCCTCCAGCGCTCAGAAATCCTGATTTCTGGACAGTTCATATATCCACCCCCCAGAGTTAAACCTTTACTCTTACACTAAGGAGGAATTATGGACCTTCGTGTCATTTTTTGAGCCAGACTGCACTTCACCCTCTTGTGGCCACCTTCACCTATAGCACCCTCTTCAGTTCTGTTGAGTTTTGGACCAGCAAACTTTGTGTTTTCTTTTTCAACTCAGGCTGCAATCCAACAAGCTCACCAAATTCCTCCGCAAGCTTTTAAAATAGGGAATTATTATGAGGTAATGCCAAAGAACATGAAGTGTCCTTTTGAGAAGATGGTGAGTCATTGGAAATGGAGCCTTAGAGAATCTGTAGTCTCATTTTATTGGAGAACATGTTCAAGACTGACCTTTTTGGCAGGTTATTTTGCAGTCTCTTCGACAGTTTCAAATCGAGACAAACGATGCTGGACGACATGAAACGCGTTCAAACCAGCGTAGACTTTCTGTTCCTCCTCAAAACATGATGCTTTCCAACAGTTCTCCATTCCCAAGGTGCTTCAACTGGAAAGATCTCCCCGTTTTGTCGACCAGTTCAGACTTCGAAGAAACATTTAAACCATATTAAAGGAATCTCGTTTGCATTTAAGTCTCTTTTTTTATTTTTTTTTCTGAGGCTGTGAACCGGGTTTCTGTTTGTCTGATATTGTATAATATTGCGTTATATGCACTGTGCTTTAAATGTACTACCGGCTGTGCCTTTTGTGTAAGAATTGTGTATTTGTATTATTTTCCTGCTTAAATACATTTTGTAATAGACGAAATTCCATTTCAATATTGGAAAGAAAAGCTTTGTAATAGCTTCCGGTTATTTTTTTCATTAATGAATTGATTAAAAAGTGTATTCTCGTATTGATTTTATATTTTTTTGCTTTTCAAGAGTCAAGAAAATGTGCCTTGTGTTTTATAAATAAAATCAAGCATTGAATGCGACTCGACATCCTCACGTCTGATCAAACACCTCGCACCATTTCAGGATGAAATACACACAAACACAAATATAATAAACAGACGACAGAGAGTTCGCTGTAAGAAACAGACCATGTTTACTTCACTGATTAAGAGAAATAAATATCTGCAGTACAAAGAGTTAAACGGTCAATTCAGCCGACAGCAAGTGTTCTGAGAGCGTCGGAGGCGGAGCTTACAGGACAACACTCATTCCATGCGTCACGCAATCACGCACACACTCGCGCACGCATTCTCCAGAAACAATCGACTCCGGTTTTACAATATTAATTAACATCTGTCAGTTCAGGAAAAAATTCAAACAGTCATTTAAAATCTGATATCTTCTGGGTTCTTCATGTTTATAAATGCTGGGAAAAGAAACATTGGTCCAACGCTGCTGTCAAAAAGTCGTTTTTTGTGTTGTCGTTACTTTTTCTTTTTATACACACAATATCTTTTTTCTCTTCTGAATAAAATCAAGCACACATGTGGGACAGTCGGACTCCAACATGCCACTTTAAGATACCATAATTCACAGAAGAGTCAATATGTAACATTTAAAAAAAATCTCTTAATACTGTTAATGAAACTAGCTCATCTTCATAGCCATCACTTGCATGGAGCAATGGGCTCTGTACAGTTACTGATCTCCATATTCACACATACACTCACACTTTCTCGCTCGTTCACAAGCGTTGCACACACTCGGAAGCTTCAGAGGAGCTCTATTAATAGGAGAAAGTCATTTGCAACTGGTTTTGATGATGCATCAGGAGCTCCGACTGTAAAAGAAAGAAATCAAAAATCTGACAAACAAGCACTTCAGTTCTGACAGGAAGTTATCACTGTGAATGAACGCATGAATGCAATAGAGGGGAAAGTTGGTTCTCAGTTCAAAATGGTGAGGTCACAAAGTTCCTGCTGGTCCAGTGTTTGCTTTTTCCACCCTCGTTTTGCAGCTTTCTGAAGCCCACCTGGTTGAGATGGTCCCTGATTGAGCAGGCCGTTCACGTGACGCGGCCTTTGAGGAACATATCCACTCTTTTTTTCTTGAAATGATGCTTTAAAACTTGAGGAATGAATATTTGGGAAGGAAAGGTTTTTTCAGGACGTCTTGAAGTGAAATCGGCATGCTAGGAAAATCAAAAGTAAATTCAAAACACGCATTCCACCTCTGTAAAACCAACATAACAACAAACGGACAGCTGCGATATCAATATTCAAACAGAATTAGAATTTTTCTAAAAAAAAAAAAATTAAAAAACGTATTGACGTGGGACTGATGTGTCCGGGGACAACCAGGAGGGTCGCACAAGAGTGAGGAAGTTACGAAGAGACAGTAGTCAATTAGCAGCAAAACAACTCCTCCGTCAATAAATATATACATGTTCACACACCCTAAGCGTCACACGGGGGAGGGCGTCCAGACGAGGGGCCGATGGGCGTTCTGGCTCAAGGCTGCATGCTGGAGGCGGGACACTGGGAGGGGGGGGGGTTCAGCGGGATCAACCCATTCCCCTTCACCACGCATGCACACGCAACAAACACCCTCTCTCAGAGAGCGAGGGGGACTAGTCAGTTAGTCTATACAACACAGTCACGGAATAAGAGCCATCGACCTGATCCATCCAGTGTGTGTGTGTGTTTGTGTGTGTGCTTGTGTGAGAGTGTGTGTTTGTGATGGGCAAGAGTGTAAGGGACTGCAGCTTAAAACAGCATGCTCTGCCGTCTGTTCTTGCTGTTTCCTGTAAGGGGAGAGACAGAAAGAAGAGAATGAAGAGGAGGAGAGAACAAAGTGTACAGTTACAAATTAATTCTAAAAAAAAATTATTAGTAATTAAAATTATATAGTTACACCCACAACATTATATATAAAATGTATATATTTTTTTAGATGAGATGAATAATGTTCTAAAATATTTTTCATATGTAATTAATTTAAAATGTATGCAGTTATATTAGTTATATTATTAGGAGAAAACAGGGCATACAAGGTTACAAAATAATTCTAAAATAACAAATGCATAAATAAATAGTTATACAATTATTTATAAAAATATTATTTCAAATGTGATTTAAATTCTGCATTACACATTATACACACACATGTATAATGCATATATATATATATATATATATATATATATATATAAAATTAAAAAAATATATATACAATATATTTTAGGATATATATTCATTTACATACCTCCATATATATATATATATATATATATATATATATATATATGCTATACATTTAAATAATTCGTTTAATAAAACATTTAATATATATATATATATATTTAAAGTTTGAATTAATTTTGAGATTTGTTTATAATTTATTTTTTATTTCATACAATAGTTATAGCTTAACTGCAAGAGGCACAGGTATCATCAGTTAATTTGCAAATTTTAAAATAATCGCCCAAAATCATCCCCATTAATTGACCTGGTCAATATCTATTGGTCTATTACGAACAGTGCCCCGTAGTGTCAGTTCCAGAAACCCATACTGGTGGACCACTATAACAGAATAAAGAGTTTTTGAATATGTATGCAGAGCACTGATCAAAGCAAACACATACCTGTCTCTGGGTACGAGGAGTTCCGGTAACCGGGGTCCCTCTGAAGCTGCACTTCCTTCAGTGTAAATATAGATATGTCTGCAGAACCACAGCACATCATGAGAATGAGGACATATGAGTGAGCAGTGTGTGTGTGTGTGTGTGTGTGTGTGATCATGCAGTGGTACATGAGCAGTGTGTGTGTGTGTGTGTGTGTGTGATCATGCAGTGGTACATGAGCAGTGTGTGTGTGTGTGTGTGTGTGTGTGTGTGTGTGTGTGTGTGTGTGTATGTAAGGGCACTCACTCTCTTGCAGTGTTTGCACACGCATGCCTAGACTCTTGAAGTAGGGTTGTTTCATCGATTCATCTGCAGAGATCCTCTTCTTGGACTCATACTATGGAGAAAACAAAAATAAATGAGGATGGCTCTGTCAGACTGATAAAGGGTTGTTTATTTTATTAACAGCATCCAAGATAAAGGAAAAACCTTTTAAAAGTAGTTAAATTTGTGTGCAAAAAAAATAAATATAACTTATTATTATTGTTAATATTACTACTGAGAGTACACATCTTAAACAATTAATAGCTCTGAATTTTTTTTTTTTTAAGTCACTGAGACTTATAATTGTTTGATATAAGTGTAGGCCTATATTTGATGCAATCCATAGTTCTGGCACATTCTTACCCTTAGAAAGGACAATAACAACTCTATTCCTTCAGTATCCAACCTGTTGATGGGAAGGGAGAGAGAGACAGAGAGAGAGAGAGAGAGAGAGAGAGAGAAAGAGATGTGACCATCGCCAGGTTGACAAATCAGACTGGCAAACGAAAGGAAGGAAGCAAACGGCCTCAGAAATTCCAGAGGAAATCCTGCTTTACTGGCACGCACACGGATTTCTAACACACACCAGAACATACACAAACTTTCCCACAGCAGCATCGGCACACTCACACACAGGCTTTGAGGTCATGGTCATTTGCTCTGTGTGGCAAGACAAACACACTGAAGCCACAGCACAGTCGCTGAGTACACAAACTCATAACAAACACACTGTATGAAACAGTAATGCAGCACCTGTACACACACACACAAACACAGAGATACAAATACAATGCAGGTACCTGGGTGCATGATTGATGAAGGGCTGAGGCTTGTATTTGGGGAAGTTGTAGGATTTAAACTCTTCGATGGATGAGATGCTGGGCCAGCTGTCCTCTGTAGGTGTACCTGATTACACAAAGCCAAAAGCACTACTTGAAAAACATGATTAACACTTTCTAAACAGAACTGATATTTATGTTGCTATGGCCAATAATTGATATGATGGCCAAAAAAGTGTGTGTATCTGAGTGAGTGCGTGTGTATGTGTGTGTGTGTGTGTGTGTGTTAAAGGTCCCGTTCTTTGTGATTCCATTTTTCGACTATGATCTTTAAAATAAAATATAAATATTAGTTGAAAAAAATAGAAATGTTGCATTGGCAATAAACTGAAATAGGTTTAAGCTGAAGCACTAAAATTATCAACTGAAAAAAAAAAACTGAAATAAAAATGAATTAAAAATAAATGAAAGAAAGAAAAATGAATAAAATGACAAAGGCACATAACAACATTACTAAGAATTAAACTAAAATGAACATGAAAACTAAAAATATAAAAATAAAAGCTAATTCAAAACATTTTCAAAAATTCAAAAACTATTTTAAAAAAATATAATAAAAACAAATAACAATGCTGAAAACCACAATTTTATAAATTCACTGATATTTCTAGACAGTGGGAAGCCCGTAAATTACTTGAGTGATTTGTTTACATTTATGCATTTGGCAGAAGCTTTTATGATAAAGCCCCTTACACTGCATTCAATGCACTCCCTGGAAATCAACTATGGTATTGCTAGAGCCATGCTCTACTTGAGCTACATTTAAAAACTATAGTTTTGAAAACTATATATATATATATATAAGATATATGGCTGTTAAAAACTTCTATTTCCACACCGAGATGAGCAGTGGAACACATCAGGTGAGAGTCAGCCAGACAGTATTTCAGCTGAACTGAGGTAACCTACCATGTGATCTCACAGTTTCCATGCAATAGTGTGTGTGTGTGCAAACCAGGTGAGAAGCACTTCTGAGTCTCAGCACTATGACACGTCTGGTGAGTGAGTGTGTGTGTGTTTAGTGTCGTAATGTCTGAAGTTGAAGTGTGCGATTCATCACACAGGCTCTGAATTGAATCATTTAGTTGGAGAGCTGGACGCAAGCATGAGTGTGTGTGTTTCTGCTTACCAAGTAATCTGAAGATTAGATGCAGCTCATCTTCAACGGTGGATCCTGGGAACAGCGGCCGACCTGCAGCCATTTCATAAAATATACATCCAACACCCCTGAGACAGAGATCAAGAGAGAGGATAAGACAGAGCAACCGTCTGCAGGAGAAGACTGCTGAATGCTGAATGTAAATGAGCACTGCAACACACACAGACACACAAACACACTACCCACCACATATCGATCTGTGTGGAATACTCTGAGGATCCCAGCAGTACATCAGGCGGTCTGTACCATAAGGTCACCACCTCATTAGAGTATGTCTTTGTGGGAACAGACTTGGCTCGTGCTAGACCTACAAATACACACAAACAAAGAGCAATAAATATTATTTTCCTTAAATATATATATTGTATATATATGCGTGTATGTATATATATATTTAAAGCTGCAGTCCGTAGCTTTTCCTCTTTGTCGCCATCTCTCTGTTAGAAATCTGTAACTGCAGTGATTCGCGGAATTATCATCTTTACGTTAGGGGTGCGCCAAAATATCGATATGGCGATATCTCACGATATTTACTCCCGCGATCGATTCTCGATGCGCTCTTGGCAAGTATCGATCTTAAAAGCCGTTATAAAACGCTCTATTCATTATCCGAGTTGACTGGATTTGACTAGCTTTCATGAGGCACACACGCAAAGTCTCTCGCTCTCTCCCTCTCTGCCGTGCTATGTATGTTATGCGCGCAGTAGGCTGTTCTGTCTCGCATGCGCACTCTAGATTCCGGGAGATTTGAACTAATTTGCGGGCATCAGGAGGACGCTATCATTATGCGGGAGACTCCCGGAACTTCCGGGAGACTTGGGATGTCTGGCTTTGCAAAAGTCCGCAAAACGGGAAACACGACCACATGTACAGACACCTCACGCGGCATCACCCGGAGCTCTGTGAGAAAGCCGTGGTTGGTGCTGGCTCGAAGCCGACACACCCCGGCGTAAACATTTTTATTACTACTGATTGCAGCAATGTTACACTAAAATGGTGTCTGTGACTGTTTTGTTGCAACTGATAAGACACAAGTTGTTTTTGTTATTGTGTTTCATCCCAAAAAATAAATGGAGATTAATTTTCCTAATAAAAAAAAAAATTGTATTTCTTAAAAGATGATATATTGTGAGTTATTACTGATAATATGTCGATTATCGCAGTATCGCCATATCGTGATATTATCGGTATCGTGAACAATGTATCGCATATCGTATCGTAAAGTACCCAGCGATTCCCAGCCCTACTTTACGTGGGTTGTAAATCGGCATGAAACAGCGCGGATGAACACAGTGCTTTGAGGCGAGTGCTGCTGTCAGTCACCGTGCTGTGTGGATACTGTCATACAGAATCACAGATTCACTTTTTGAAAGTTTGACCAACATAAGAATTTTCATAAGAAAATGTCTTCTGAACAAGTAAGTAACATCCATTTTTGTTCTGACCAACTAAGGGGGAAAAAGCATTCGACATGATAAGCTTCGTTAGATTTAATCAACGCGATTTACAGCAACCGTGCAAATTATAGCCTACTTTGTTCTCAAATTGTTCATGTTAACAACATCACATCAGCATTGCGTGACTAATGTTAAATTTAATGTGTTTTATGGTTACCTGTGTAGTTCAGAATTCATATTCTCCATAATAGCAAAACGAGAAAGGCACAACAAAGGAAACTCCATAACTGTGTGAATTAAGAAAACGTACTGTTACACGATTGAACTATTGAAATGTCTTACTTGTTCAGCAGAAAAAGCCGTCTCTTCTTCCGTTTTGAACCCCTTCAAAACACGGAGTTCACGCACTTTTCAAAAGCCCCGCCAATGTTTAAATCCTTGTGTTCGCATGAGACGGTTTCTTTCTCTTTCTCTAGCCACCTTAAATCCGAAGTACGAAGTCTTTTGGGTTTTATAACTGCTGAATCTCCAGTTGACACTGATGATTGTTGTTTGGATCTCTCTGGATGCCATAAGTTTAATCATGTAAAGTGCTGCGAGAAAAGCCTATACATCTAAACATCTCGTCACGCGCAGTATAGCCGGCTAGCCGAAACTCCTTCTTTATGTGTACAGATGTGACGTAATGACGCAAAGACATGCTCGAATTTCCCGCGGAAACCCACCAGTACCACTGGAATTAAAATCATTATTACAAGCTAACCGTTTTAAATCTAGCTATGGCAAGCAGATAGTTTTGACCACTGGCCGAATATGTTTTTTTTTAATATAATTATTTTGGATTATTTTTAACTTAAAAAAGTTACGGACAGCAGCTTTAAAAAAATAAAATATACAAATATATAAACTTTACCAATAAATATATCTTAAATAATTGTAAGTTAAAAAATGTATATTATACTTAGTTTATAATATAAAATAAACTATTACACTTAGTATGTGTGTGTGTGTGTGTGTGTGTGTGTGTGTGTGTGTATGTATATATATATATATTATATTAATTAATATAATAAAAATGTATGCATGTATATATTTGCTTTGTATTACACACACATATGTATACGTACATACATATACATATATGCTTGTGTGTGTATATACACTGTAACATCATGGAAATGTATTTAATTGTAATTTATATAATATAACATGTATATAATATATATGAAATATACATTTGAAAAAATTATATACGTGTAATAATTTTAAATGTATACGAATTTTGTGCGTACATATTCAACTGAATATTTTAGCGCAGTCATTGAAAATTCTGAAGCATACAGGAGGGGACAGGAGACATTTATTTAATTTATTTGATAGCACTGTGCTACACATACCAAAGTCAGCCAGTTTGAGTTCACCCCTCTCATTGATGAGCAGGTTCTGTGGTTTCAGGTCCCGGTGCAGAACCTTGCGTTTGTGGCAGTACGCCAGCCCTCGCAAGATCTGGAACAGGAAGATCTAGAACCACACATGGACTACAGGTTAGAAGACCACAAACAGAAACTTTCATATTGTGTTGCATTGCACTAATACACAACAGTTTGTTTTGTTAAATCCATTTGGGGCAAAATAAATTGCTTGATAACAGCAAACAGACATAGGACAGACCTTAACGTTGTGCATACTCATGATGTTTCCACAATCGTCCATGTACTGCTTCAGATCTTTATCCTACAGGAAAGCCATTGGAAAACAAATGAGAAAACAGAACGAGAAGCAAATGGAACAGAATGGCACACAGCAAGAAACAGGAGCAGCATGGGACATTCGCTCACCAGATACTCAAAAACAAGAGTGAGGGATTTGTCCGTGTGGACAATATCATGAAGCGTGACGATATTGGCGTGCTTTAAATCCTTCAATAATGACACTGAAAGAGAGAAAATTGCAGGATAGATCAGAGCAATATCAACATTAGTATCTTAGACAAAGAGAGAGAGAGATTAAGAAAGAGAGAGAGATTAAGAAAGAGAGAGAGAGAGAGATTCCTCACCCTCTCTAATAGCTGTGCATGGAGCGCCCTCCTCATGCTCCAACCGGATCTCCTTCAAAGCTACCAGGTTGTCCGTCAATTTGCTTCGGCCCTTGAAAACGGTGGCATACGTCCCCTATAATACAATTACAGCAATGATTAGATTTGTAGTTAACAGATTAATAATTTACTGATAAGTGGCAACCAATAATTATGTCCCTACTGTACAGCTAACAAAAGAAACAAAAAGTACTTTGGATTGCAAATTATTTGAAGGAGTCCTTGTTACAGTGTAATTAAACATTTAAGTACTGAGTAATATTAATTAATAACTTGTACTTACTATAGGGTTAGGTTTTGGTTTAGGGTCAGTTGCATGTACTTATGAATAATTTACTGTTATTACTATAGTAAGTACATGTAATGTGGAACAAGGACACAGTAAAATAAAGTGTACCGAACTGTGATGATATGAAGACTGTCATGTCAATAACCTCCTTATTATGAACACGTTCAGTTATATGATTATCAATTATTGCACTTTTAAATGACCATTTCTGACAGCTGATGAGGGTGAAATAATGAAACTGTACCTCTCCCAACTTGTCCAGTTTGATGTAGGTCTCCAGTTTCCCAAAGCCGATTTCTGACTATAAAAAAAGAAAAAGAGAGAGATTGCTTCATTAATGAGATCTGGTTAATGCTGAACAGCCTGCATGTGTTCAACGGACCTTATCAGTGAGAAACACGAGTCTGGAGTGTTGCTCGCCATCTCTGATATCTGCAGCCAAAATCATTTCCCAGACAAAGCCATTAATCACACACACCGTATTCAGACTCCCACGGGCACCAGGGGGCACCAGAACAACAACATACACCCCCTCTACTTTACATACATGGAGAGTTGGAGGTGAGGGCGACATAGACGGATGACAGCTAAGAACAATGGATGCCAAGTAAACCCAGACGCAAAAGCAGGGGGCTTTTCACATGCAAAACCCCCAATGTATGCAGCCTACAAACAAAGAACATGGTATGTGTCTTTGTGCTCAACTGAGAGTACGACACAATGTTCGTAGCGACACACTGGGTTTCTCGTCAACGGGCCGGGTTGATCTGCAGCAGTCCATGTTGTTTTGAAAAGCTTGCTGTGGACTGTGTACTCATTAACTTCAGCTTAATATTCTTCAGATGTAATCTTTTACTCTTAAAAGAGCAGCAGCTCAACCAAAAATTTATTTTATTTACCCTCATGTCATTTCAAATTCATTTGACTTTTTCCATTAATGGAATATTAAAGTTCTTCAAAATTGTATTTTGCATACAATAAAGTATGTCCAATGAGATTTTTTTTTAAATCACTTTAAAAGTAGCCCATATGGTTTGTGCAATATATTTAAATATGTTTTATAAAGCATGTATATGATAGTTTTGTGCACTGTAAAAAAATTATGATCAATACATTGACAACATATGGTTTTAAATTGCTTTAACTCACCAAAATTAAGCAATTTAAACTTTTTTTGTTATACAAGATTAAACTAATTTTTAAAAATGTAATTTAAGTTGAAACGACTTAAACATCAAAGTTGATGGTACTTAATTTAAGGCAGCAACTTTTTCTCTTTTTTACAGTGTATAAGTTGTTATTCTATGATCTCATTTGATCAGATCACAGTTTGAAACCAATCGTGACGCACAAAAGTTATCGTACAGCTTCAGAAGACTCGTAATGTAGTGCAAAAGCCTTCAGGACTTCATAATAGATAGATAGAACGATAGATAGAAGAAGATAGATAGATAATTTTGGGATGAAATATGACCTGCATGTCAAAGACATTCAACTAGAAAAATCCTTGTACACAAAAGCATTACAAGCTTAACCGATCATGTATTAGAAACCCAGAACAGGGCTAAAAATAGTGCTTTCTGGAGCTTGACGGCTCGTAGTTATTGAATGATTCCATTGCATTGATGACTAAAACTAGCATCTTATACATAGTTCAAAACATCTCCTGTTGTGTTCCACAGAAGAAAGAATGTCAAACTAGTTTTGTATGACATGAGGATGAGTAAATGCTGACAGAATTGTCCATTTAAACAGCATTAAAGTCAATAAGAAAGCAATCGTTTTTAAAAAATAACTTTCTCAATGTTTAAACCCATATCTCTCAGCGTGACAATGGCTTACTGTTTGACAGCCATGTAATAGTTTTAACCCGGCCAGACTGAATAATCTACATAATCCCACATTGTGTTTGAGTGTTTGAAACAATACGGTTTATTAATCTTGAACACCATGATCTCATACCATTCATGTCAAATGAGAAAACTAATGTGTTTCTATGCAGTGTGGTTGCTAGATAGATGTCCCATCATGCTCTACTCCTGATATGCTCCACAGAGAGATTCACGTCATTTTGAGAAACCTCAGATGTGGTGATTTATTTGCTTCTGAGATGAAATGAGGAGGTTTGCATGTTTATGTGGTTCAGACGAAGCACAAAAACATACTAGAGATTAGTAGGGAGCAAATAAGACATTACGTGTTAATGTTGTTAAACCATTATAAAGATGACCTAAGGGTTTATGCGCGCACTTACCAGCGAGGCTCTACGTGATCGTCGGCTGAGGGGTTGGTCAAACGGCGGACTGCTCAACTGTAGCTTTTCCAGGTAACCGTCAGGAATCCGGATATCAGCAGGCAAAGACAAGCGTTTATTCAGGTCCTGAAAAATCACACACACACACACACACACACAGTCAGTCACAAGGGACAAAATTAGCTGGGTTCATATCAAAGTAGAAATCAGATTAAAAATTGATGCTTGGTGACTAATTTTCATTTGGTATGTGTATCTCGTCTGAAAGCATTGTGTGTGTGTGTGTGTGTGTGTGTGTGTGTGTGTGTGGTTTTAAATAAGATAGCGTGACTTCCTACAGCCGTTCTCAAACCAAAGCATTAGCATCTTCCATAAATAACCCTCCATCATGCTTTGAATCTCCTCCATTTACATCTCTCTCACATGTCTTTTCTCCACCCACAGGCTACTTATAGAAGCGTGCAGCATGAAAAACTTATTGGGCAGCACATCAGTCCAATACTTGTGTACTAGTACAGGTTGAATAAGAGGTGAATCATTTTACCCCAAAATCAAAAGAAACATAATATTCTGGATTATTTTTGCATTATTTTTAATAACATTAATCTTAAATAATGAATATTTCCCCCTCAATTCTTATTACTGCAATGCAAAATAAAACAATTTGAGCTAATGACAAAGAAAATGTTACAAACTTGTATGCATAAGTCTTTGTAACACTACTTACATGCATGTTGCATGCATTTACTATAGTAATAAGAGTAAATTGTATGTAACGAATTAAATAAATACTAATTACGTAATACCGTCATTTTAATCAAAGGCAGTAGGCTATAACAAATGCCATCACGACATTATATACTTTCAATTTATATTTTTAAAATTACTTGTATATATTAAATGCATATTATTGATGTTTATTATCATTTTTATATATGTATATTATCTTTTTCCCATGTTACATTAATGAGCCTTTTGGGAATAAAAGGAGCTCAAATGCATGAAAATCTTATAAGCCATAATAGTAGACTCTTTTCTTTATGCAATTTCTTTTCTTTATGTACCTGTAACACCTCTTCATGAGATTCACCAGTATATATACACACAACATTGTAAAAAAAATATCTACATATTTATTGACATTTGTCTAATAATGTGCATTTAGTCGCAGTAACCCAATTCATACAGCAGGGGGCAACATAACCCCGGAGACCGAGACAGTGAGGAACACATGGTCAAATAACTAGTTCAGACTGAGGTTTGCAATTAAAACCCCAGAATAAGAAGCTTTAAATGCTGTATATGTAGCAAGAGTGTGACGTGAATGTCTTGATGTATTCAGGTTAATTATGATAGAAAAGAGACGTTTTTCTATTTCAAAATCCTCTAACGGTGGTTTTCAAACGCTCTTTTTAACATTGTACTGCAGAGAAGAGAACAGAGACTGGGAATGATAAAGAAAGGAAAGACGGAGTGAGAAAAAAAGAGGCAGAATCCATTCCATTCAGATCCATGTGTGCGGTAACAGAGGAAGGCAGTATTTAATATCAAACAGCGGCTCAAACATCACCAGACAGACACAGATGCATATGATTGAAATTCAGTCTGACACCGTCCTAAGCAAATATGACGCCTGTTTCAGGTGATTTTCTTCTATCCTCACAAAGTGAAAATGCCACACGATGCATCAATCACAGCCAGCATAGTAATGAGGAGATTTTGGACCAATGAGATTGGTACAGGGGGCGTGTCTATGTAGTGCTTTAGCCTAGAAAAAGAAACCAAACCATTCTGACTGTATCCTGTTACTTGTTGTGGCTGGTTAAGACACCAACTTGTTTTACCGGCTAAGATCTCAGATCTTCAAAACTGAGGTTGGTAATTGACGTTTAACACCTGAGAGCTTTCAAACTGCAGAAGTTCCTCTCATACCATCTGCAACTGCCCGCAAAATCTCCAGATTTCTTTAGATCATCTCATTAAAGAATCATTGCGGAGGAAGAGGAGGAGAAAAGCCGACTAACAGGGTGTGGGAGAAAATAGAAAAGGATGAGAGAGGGAACGAGAAAAAGAAAAAAAAGCACTACAGAGGAATCCCTCCACCTACCCAAAGCCAAAAATAAAGCTTTTAGTAGTGACACATCACCCAGTCTGAAACTTTCAGGGTAACGCACGCAGAGTCCTGTGAATAACTGAGCGTGAGGCAGGTTTGTGCTGCTGATTCATTAATGTTCTGTCTTACCTCCATGGATATGCGCCGATGATTTCTGTTGCGGAGACACACGCCGGTGGGCGACTGCACTTCGTCCGAGGACGTCCCTGAGGCCTGATCGCTCTCTCCATCCGAACCCATCTTCAGATTCTCATGAACAATGTCTGGGAGAGAGGAAGAGGAGGTTAGAAAATGAAAACGTGTGATAGATGTGTGCGAGATCTGCTGCTGCTCTAACGGAGTTATGGGAAAGTTATAGAGTTATGGTTTATGGGAGGTTTTATTAGCATATACATGTATGGCTGAATCCCAATAGTTACAATAGTTCCTTAAGTACTAACAGTACTATGCAATAAAAGAATGCGTTTGATTATGTTGTAATACCACAGACCACTAAGTGTGTGGAGTGTCATTAAAATATGATATATAAAATATATAAAATATATATATATATATATATATATATATATACACAGCGGTATATATTATAAAAATCAGACATCAACAATATAATAACTGTTTTATAGTTTTTTTTATTTTTAGGTTTTATTATTTAACATTAGTTAACGAACTACGAATGAGAAATACTTCTAAAGCATTTATTAAACTTAGTTCATGTTAATTTCGACATTTAGTAATTCATTTTTTAAATCAAAAGATGTATTTGTTAACATTAGTCAGTGCACTATTAACTAACATGAACAAACAACGAACAACTGGATTTCTATTAACTAACATTAACAGATGAATAAGTGTTGTTAGTTCATACATTAACTAATGTTAAAAAATGAGACCTTATTGTAAAGTAAATAATTAAATGGATATTTAAATTGGACATAAACGGATATTTTTAATACTTAAAATGGTTTCATTCAAGTTTGAAAATTGAGGTAAAGACACAATATGTACGATTTTTAAATAAAAAATAGCCAAAAACCACTAGAACAATGTTATGTTTTGTTGACTTGTGTACTTACATTATCCCAAATGTTTACAACAATGTTTAAATCCAGAGAATTCAGCTATTTTATCCGGCGGCCGACTCCGGCATATATACGCATAATAAAAACAGCAATGTAAAATGTCCTGGGCTCTCGGCCCCGTCCTGCTTCATACTACAGTAACGTTAATAAACTTTAATACATTAGCTCACACATGAACATGATTTCTGCCTGAGTCCCATCAGATTGCTTTCCATCGGCTGTGGAGGTAAAGACGACACCTCCCATGATTCCACGCTCATTCACAGCGTCATCAAGCTACGTATTTGTTATTGTTTTGAATGAACGAAATCCAGCGGCAAAACTTACCATTTTGTGCCTTTAAATGCGAAAAAATATATAAAATTCAATTAATTATTCCTTTTAAAAATAGTAAGTTATTAAAAGAGCATTTACCAATTGGTTTCTTAATCCAAATGAGTGAAACACTGAAACTTTTGAATTATTTTTATTTATTTGTAGCCCCTTTGACACAAAACAGCCCTCTTGAAAAGGGAACCGTTGCTGATGACTGACTTTAGGCCCCAGACACACTTTAAAGGCATTACTATTACATTATTAACTATAAGAGATGTGTTACTAAGAAGATTACTAATCAGCTCAAAAAAATACATTTGGCATAGTACTATTTTTAGCATAATGTGATTTGGGACACACTAATCTTGCATACTATGTAGAATATTATATAGTAATTCGGGAATCAAATAATGTGTGTGTGTGGGTTGGAAAAGCAACATGTGATTCCTCTATTTCAGTGAAAGACCTTATTCATCCTCTTTCCCTTTAAACACACACACACCTGTATAAAGCGGAGGAGTACACACATACACAGCACATTAGGCTGCACGTCTGTCAATAACTCTCCTGCAGTTCTTCATATTCATGAAAACGAGTCAAACATGACATGAACACACATGCTCTATTCACATTTACCTATGGCCTTATTCCAGAGAAAGACATGGATTATACAGAAACCTGTGAAGAGATGTGCTGTTCCATGATGTGCTTTTTGTTTATGCAGTGAGTGAGTATGAACTATGTCCTCCACTCTTCTCTATTACATAAAAGTATGATCCAGCTTATCTGAGATGGCCTATGGGCCAAATCATGATGTAATCGGGGTTTAAAAAAAACAAAAACACACACTAATTGAGAACAAGCGGCCAGGAATTAAGAATCCCATACAACATGTACATGCAGTCTTTATAGTACTTGGAAAAGGGGCGGACTAAAAGCAATGGAAAATAAAAGCTGTTCCGGAAGAAAAGAGATTATATTCCCGCATAAAAGAGAGCTGGAAACTAGAAAAAGAGTGTAAAGGTGCGGTCGTGCTGTGTAGTTTTATGGCAGGCTGTTTGCTGGCTCACGGCCCCCTCCGCCCTCACCTCATAAGACGGCGTCCCCCAAGGGTGACATATCGGCCCGCTCTTTTATCTGGCCCTGGCAGTAAAAAGTACCTAACCTGAGGGCCATCCATTATCACACACAGCTGTCTGCTGTCTCTCTGCTCTTGATATCTTCAGACGAGAGGGATAATACAAAATAGATGCAGTTCGCATTAAGCATTAAGCAATGACAATTGAGCACATTATCCCCATTAATTCTCATTATTGCAGTCTGATCAAAAGTGATCAATTAAAAACAAATGTTAGTATATGCCAAAGTAATATTTACTACACTAAATTTAATTTATTCAAAAAATAAAATGAAACAATAAAATAAATAAATATTGGGGGAATTATATTAATTCAAATAATGTCAACGCAAAAAAAAAAATTGTGTTAACTTTACAACAAGGTCTCATTTGTTAACATTAAACATTAGTTAATGTATTCATTAAATACACTTTTAGTCCGCCCCTTCTCCATGTACTAGAAGACTGCATGTACATGTTGTATGGGATCCTTAATTCCTGGCCGCTTGTTCTCAATTTGTGTGTGTGTGTGTGTGTGTGTGTGTGTAGTTGCAGGTAACGTGTCCTATTTTTTTGTAATCTGACATACCGCAGGTAACGAGTTGCTCTGGCAGATCACCCCACTTCCCTCCGTTCACTCTCCCTTTCCTGTCTTTCATCTCTTTCTACCTCGTCCTCTCAACATCACAAGCGCTGTGCTCTTTCATTCCGTCAAGCCCGAGACAACCTCACTAGTAATTTTTAGGCATATCATCAGTCAGTCGCACCCTAGCGCTCAGTCTTCCGCTTTCCTCCCGCCGTCTTTTAACTGATGCCGTGAAAGTCTAGAAAGCGCAGTGATCTACTTTTTTCTTTTTTTTTCAAAAAGTGTGGCACGGAAAAATCTTGCAAGAACGAAAGTGGGTCAAACTCTAATAAACTCCAGACTGTCTTGGGCTGCCTGACATCACTCCAAACTGGAATGCATCCTATTCAAGGGAATGCAAGCTGATCATCTATCAAACACATTTACATGACAGCTTACAAATTCCACAATCTGTGCCAAATAAACAAGCGATTGCTCTCTGACATCGCTGTTGGTGGATGAGAATGCGGGAACGGACACGTCTGGACTTGTGTCTAAGATGCTGGTAAATAATAACCTCACGTATGGGAAGCACCATGCATGAACACACACTCACTCGGAGAGCAGCCCGGACGGAACTGCTCAACTGTGACACACACTTCTTGCACGGTCGCCTCCCACTAACCTTCCTCTGACTCACTTCCTGCCAGTGTGAGCGTGTTCTGTGTGTGTGAACGTGTGAACACCCACTCGTGCAGTTGCACACATGCACACCAGGGTGAGATATGACTGCTCCCATGACAACAGGGAGAAAAGGTTGATCGACCCATATTCATCTCACACCAAGATTCTGCAGACATGAATTTTTTACATGGCAGATCATTAATATAATGTGTGTTGTCTATTACACACTTTCAGAGAGAAGACATGCTTGCTGGCAGTCAAACAGAAGTAACCATTAAACTGAAAGTGGGTGGCATATTTGGGATTGGTTGAAGGTGAGTACGAGTCACTCACAAGGGCCACGTATGCTTCATCCACACCATGTTTCACATCCACAACATCATTAACATACTTATAAGTTTGAGGTAAATATGTGAATCATTAATACTTGTAGTTGCTATACAGCACTTCATCAGGCCGACAATTATATTAAAATGTATGTTTAATATAAATTAATTTGTTTGCCATGAATTGTAAATGAATAAATAACTAAGGAAATTCAATTTTAATCAAATTATTTTAAAAATTGTTAAAAGTAACTGTTATATTAAAAATATAAAATTGTATTTTATTAAAATAAATATTAATTATTATTATTATTAAATAGTTGAAGTAATAATCATAATAATCATTATTTTAATAATGAACTTAAAAAAAGTTTAGAATAAAATTATAACTAAATAATATAATAAATATAAAACAAAGATAACATTAAAATTTTGTAACAACTTTTAAAAATAAGACATTAAATTACATAAAAAATAAATAAAATCTGTTAAAAGTTACCAAAAACACAATTTATAATATATACATAATTTATAGTGTGTGTGTGTGTGTGTGTGTGTGTGTGTAATATATACATACACTCACCGGCCACTTTATTAGGTACCCCATGCTAGTAACGGGTTGGACCCCCTTTTGCCTTCAGAACTGCCTCAATTCTTCGTGGCATAGATTCAACAAGGTGCTGGAAGCATTCCTCAGGGAGTTTGGTCCATATTGACATGATGGCATCACACAGTTGCCGCAGATTTGTCGGCTGCACATCCATGATGCGAATCTCCCGTTCCACCACATCCCAAAAATGCTCTATTGGGTTGAGATCTGGTGACGGTGGAGGCCATTTTAGTACAGTGAACTCATTGTCATGTTCAAGAAACCAATTTGAAATGATTAGAGCTTTGTGACATGGTGGAAGTAGCCATCAGAGGATGGGTACATGGTGGCCATAAAGGGATGGACATGGTCAGAAACAATGGTCAGGTAGGCCGTGGCATTTAAACGATGCCCAATTGGCACTAAGGGGCCTAAAGTGTGCCAGGAAAACATCCCCCACACCATTACACCACCACCACCAGCCTGCACAGTGGTAACAAGGCATGATGGTTCCATGTTCTCATTCTGTTTACGCCAAATTCTGACTCTAACATCTGAATGTCTCAACAGAAATCGAGACTCATCAGACCAGGCAACATTTTTCCAGTCTTCAACTGTTCAATTTTGGTGAGCTCTTGCAAATTGTAGCCTCTTTTTCCTATTTGTAGTGGAGATGAGTGGTACCCGGTGGAGTCTTCTGCTGTTGTAGCCCATCCGCCTCAAGGTTGTGTGTGTTGTGGCTTCACAAATGCTTTGCTGCATACCTCGGTTGTAACGAGTGGTTATTTCAGTCACTGTTGCCCTTCTATCAGCTCGAACCAGTCTGGCCATTCTCCTCTGACCTCTGGCATCAACAAGGCATTTCCGCCCACAGAACTGCCGCTCACTGGATGTTTTTTCTTTTTCGGACCATTCTCTGTAAACCCTAGAGATGGTTGTGCGTGAAAATCCCAGTAGATTAGCAGTTTCTGAAATACTCAGACCAGCCCTTCTGGCACCAACAATCATGCCACGTTCAAAGTCACTCAAATCAACTTTCTTCCCCATACTGATGCTCGGTTTGAACTGCAGGAGATTGTCTTGACCATGTCTACATGCCTAAATGCACTGAGTTGCCGCCATGTGATTGGCTGCTTAGAAATTAAGTGTTAACGAGCAGTTGGACAGGTGTACCTAATAAAGTGGCCGGTGAGTGTATATAAACACTTATGTTTTAATTGTTAAAAAACATTTTAAAATGCTGAATACTTTATGCTGAATATGTCTTTAAATGGCGACTCTTCCAATCAGCCTGTACGTGTGTGTGGTCACTCACCGAGGCGGCTGCCGTTTCGAGGCATGGCCATGAAGGACCCCAGACTTCCCCCGATGACACTGTGCGGTCGGCGCAGAGGAGGCTTCTTAAAGGAGCCCGTGTACTGGTGCAAAAACGAGTGCATGCTGTGGGAGGAGGGCGGCCGGCCATTCCTCACGATGGGCTCTGAAATAACAACAAGAGACACAAACACAGCATCAGTATAATTGCATGAATAGATTTATATAGTGTGAGGCGGTGAATACTTCATTAAAATTAATACTTCACTACCTGAGGTTACACTGAGGTCAAAGGGAAGCTACAGCAATAAAGGGAAACCGGCAGCAACTATCTAGAAACTGGTGATGTCTTGACATTCACCTATATCTTTCACTTCCCATCAAGCTGAGTGATGCTGGGAAGGCAACACCTGCTGTGCTTTTCACTTTTAATGGAAAGACAAGCCAATCATTGCAAAGGTGTTGCTATGGCAATGTCTAAACCAACAGGAAAGCAGCTGGAGTCATTTGAGCCAATCAACACAAGGCATGAAAAAGCATCAATCAAACATATTCTGACAATCGACACAAGTATAAAAGATAATCAAAATGGCAACATATCAACCAATAGAAGCATCGCTACCATTATAAACCAACTATTTGACACTTGACAGTGACACCCATGTGAATTTTAGATTAAAAAAATGCACTGCATATATTAACTTTAATCAATGTCTGTAGAGGTTATATGACCATCACACATATGTGAGAGAGAGAGTGTGTGTGTGTGTGTACTCCGACCCCACCTGTCCACCTCCCACCTGTCTCTGCTCACACCACCTGTCCAGTCAACCAACCCCTCCTTGAGCTTGCACACACAACAACAACACACACACACATATACATATACATATATATATATATATATATATATATAAACACAGAGTAATGCATTGGTATTGCATTACATAAGGAGATAAAGTGCTGCTCTCTGGGACATCGTAATCTAAAAGTCATTCTTCCCCAGCATGCTCAGACATTCAAACACACAAATAGCGAGGCTCTGTGTCTCCAAACAACCCAAGCAAAAATGTCTCTTATATTAACCCACCCAACGTCCTAAGAAACTGCACCCGCCTAGTTCAAATTTGACCCCTGGATCATATTAAGCATTAAGATCCTGAATTCTGGATTGAGGTACTAATGGGTTCCCTAAAATAAATGTCTTTTTTATTGTGTCCCAAAGTTAGTTTATTATGAAGAAAATATTGAATATTGATTTAATTGATTAGTTAAAAACATTCACAACTTAGCAAACATTAGTGCTGCTATTTTAGGTTTATTTTAGTAATTTTTTTTATAAAGCCTTACAGTATGATATAGAGAAAAGTACATGTAAAGTAAAGGGATCAATTAAATTGTATAACAATTCTGGGTTCAATTTGATTAATAGATTTATGAACATCAAATTTAAATAAAGACCCGATATAAAAAAATGTTTTTTTATATAAAAACTATTTTATGAATTAAAAATTAATATTTGAATTAATTAGGCGTTTAAAAATTGGACATGAAGTTTTGTTCAGCGTAGGATAGTGTAAATCAAATATTCAAATTAAGACTAAATGAACCCATTTTACTTCTAACATGATTGAAGTGAAGTGTGAAGTGAATAGTAAAGTGAAAATTGAATTGTCAAGTGGAAAGTGAATTTAAAAGTGAAGTGTAAAAAGTGAAGTGTAAAGTGTGGAGTGAAAAGTGAAGCGTGACGTGAAAGGTGGAGTGAAAAGTGAAGTGAAAGATGGAGTGAAGTAAAAGGTGGAATGAAGTGAAGTGTAAAGTAAAGTTTAAAGTCAAAGGTGGAGCGAAAAGTGAAGCGTGAGGTGAAAAGTTGAGAAAAAAGTGAAGCGTGAAGTGAAAGGTTGAGTGAAAAGTGAAGCGTGAAGTGAAAAGTGAAGCGTGAAGTGAAAGGTTGAGTGAAGAGTGAAAAGTGAAGCGTTAAGTGAAGCGTGAAGTAAAAAAGTGAAGTGAAAAGTGAAGCGAAAAGTGAAGTGTGAAGTGAAAGGTGAAGCGTGAAGTAAAAAAGTGAAGTGAAAAGTGAAGCGAAAAGTGAAGTGTGAAGTGAAAAGTGAAGCGTGAAGTAAAAAAGTGAAGTGAAAAGTGAAGCGAAAAGTGAAGTGTGAAGTGAAAAGTGAAGCGTGAAGTAAAAAAGTGAAGTGAAAAGAGAAGCGAAAAGTGAAGTGTGAAGTGAAAAGTGAAGTGTGAAGTGAAAAGTGAAGCGTGAAGTGTGAAGTGAAGTGAAAAGTGAAGTGTGAAGTGAAAAGTGAAGCTTGAAGTGAAAAGTGAAGTGAAAAGTGAAGTGAAAAGTGAAGCGTGAAGTGAAAAGTGAAGCGAAAAGTGAAGCTTGAAGCGAAAAGTGAAGCTTGAAGTGAAAGGTTGAGAGAAAAGTGAAGTGTGAAGTGAAGCTTGAAGTGAAAGGTTGAGAGAAAAGTGAAGTGTGAAGTGAAAAATGACGCGTGAAGTGAAGTGTGAAGTGAAAAGTGAAGCTTGAAGTGAAAAGTGAAGTGAAGAGTGAAGCGTGAAGTGAAAAGTGAAGTGAAAAGTGAAGCGTTGACTGAAAGGTGAAGCGTGAAGTGAAAAGTGAAGTGAAAAGTGAAGCGTGAGTGAAGCGTGAGTGAAGCGTGAGTGAAAAGTGAAGTGAAAAGTGAAGTGAAAAGTGAAGCGTTGACTGAAAGGTGAAGCGTGAAGTGAAAAGTGAAGTGAAAAGTGAAGCGTGAGTGAAAAGTGAAGTGAAAAGTGAAGCGTGAGTGAAGCGTTGAGTGAAAAGTGAAGTGAAAAGTGAAGCGTTGACTGAAAGGTGAAGCGTGAAGTGAAAAGTGAAGTGAAAAGTGAAGCGTGAGTGAAAAGTGAAGTGAAAAGTGAAGCGTGAGTGAAGCGTTGAGTGAAAAGTGAAGTGAAAAGTGAAGCGTTGACTGAAAGGTGAAGCGTGAAGTGAAAAGTGAAGTGAAAAGTGAAGCGTGAGTGAAGCGTGAGTGAAAAGTGAAGAGTAAGTGAAAGGTTGAGTGAAAAGTGAAGTGTGTCAAGTGAAGAAGTGAAGTGTGAAGAGAAGTAAAGTAAAGTGAAATACAAAACTTTAAAAAATAGGCTAGATTTTATCCTCTGTAATTTGACTGAATTGTGAAAACTGGTCTCTTTATAAAGTTTGGAGGGGAAAGGGAGGGTTTGATGATGTCAGCATAAATGGAAAGACATTTATAGGCAGAGCAAGTTATTACATTGTGATGAAAGATTACAAAGGCAATCTTTTTTTCTTTGCAATAACATGTAATGATAAATAGTTCCCAAGCAGATCAATAGGATCAATTATGATTTCATGTCGACTTTAAACAGTGTTGTTTTCAGACTGTGTTTGGATGCCTGCACATGAAATGCTGATGGCGTATCCTCATTTATTCAGAGAGCGTTCTCTTTTTCGCTGTGGTCGCCCTCTCTCTCATATCTTCCCACACCACAGCTGTGTCTCTGATTACAACAGGCCTTTCAATCTGCTTACTAAGGGGAATCCAACAAAACACCAGGCTCACACACACACACACACACACACACCTCAAACAGCCCAGCTCAGTGTGGCGCAGGTCTGAACCATCCGAGCCCATGTGTGTAAAGTTCCACTCACAGACCAGCTGCACACAGGGACCGTATTTCCATACAAGCATCATGGAAACTCTGGAATGTTCCACGGCCAACGCCATGGTAACGCTCCACAGGTCGGGCCGTGACAATATTTCATGCTGTCAGATGAAGGAACGTCCCACCAACAGCATCAGTGGGTGTGTGGAGTTAAGACAAAATAGTGGAATTTGGACAGACGTGAACACCCAATACTGAAAAAATAGCATGATCATTTTTTCACATGCATGGCACAAGTACATTAAATGTAAACTCTACGTCTATCCTGTCTTGTTGCTAAGCAACAGCACTCCTGGGGAAAATACTTCATGTCAGCAGAAGCTCTTGGGCCCAAAGCAAGGTTGGGTCTACGGTTGCTGTGCCGACAGTCTCCGGTGAGGGGCTCTTTGTGCAGCGCCCGAAACATCCATTCCTGGTGCCAAAACGATCACAGGCACACATAAATTCACTCTATTTCTTCATTATTGAGACAAAGGATATCTTCAGAGAGAGTTTGAAATGTGGAGGAGCCCAAATAAACACAAAACCACACGCATGACTATTAGCCAGGCAGATGGTGCAGATGACTGTCCTGTTCTGGACCAGACCACAAACATAAAAAAACAAAACAAAGACTGTCTGAAAATTGAGGAAGCATTACAAAGAAACAACAACCATGTATCCCCTTTTTCATGTAGTATTTATGTCTCTCCCGTGGGCAAAAGACTAATACTATAGTCTTGATCATTATTAAAATTAACAAACAATACAATGTGTAAGGACAAACAGACCAGTAGCTGATAATTAATGTTAGATATGTTAGATATGTTAGATATGTTTATGTTATTTGACATAAATTTAGTATAATTAATAAAAATAAAAAATATGTATTTGCACACACACACACACACACACACACATATATATACACACACACACATACATATATATATAAATTCTGTTGCTGACTGAATCTACAATTCCATATTAAAAAGTACAGTCTTCAATGTTAATGAGACAAAATCTCAATTAGTCTACTCTCATTTCCATATTGCATGCATATCTTTCCTGAGGCTAAAGTGAGACTATAAATCACATGGCTCATTTAATGTATAATTAACACAGAACTTTTAAATCTTTAAATTAAATTATTCTTTCAGGTGTCCTAACACACCTAATGAAAAAAACAACAACTCTATAACAGGAGTTATTTTTAATTAAAAGGTTGTTATTCACATAAAATACTGATAATTAAATAAAACGGACATCAGCTGACATCTAATACCCATCACAGTGCATAATATTCCTCTGAACGTTAATCCAGATGGGCTGCAGTGAAAGAGGATTTAGCCTGCGCAGCGGCAGAAGTTAGATACCCTATCTAATGTGCGGATTAAAGGAAAGAGAAGAGAGTGGCATAAGATCCTTACGTAATGGGTCTTCATAAAACATTCATCAGTCTGACTAAAAAAAAAACCCGGCTGGGTCAACAACACTGCCATTCCCCACATTCAACACACAGACCTAAAAACAGCCACACTGTGAAAGCATGTATGCATAGCTGAGTGGGCATATCTAGACCGTTGTGCACATATCAGTGCAAGTGTACAGGTGAAAGAGTGCAACAATCAGGAAGAAGAAAAAAACAAACACATTCTCTGAATGTTAGTGTTAACCTGAGGATTGTGTTGTGATGGTTTGACACTAGGACTCCCGGAATTCTATAACTACTATAATGCTCATACATTATTTGCATATAATTTCAATAAGCTATATCAAATCTAAGAATAAATGGATCTGTAATGTTAGGATAGGTAATAATAAACATCAGAACACTACATTTTAATTATGACGTATGTAAAAATGTATTAGTTAACCAACAACCACTCAGCCTCATCAAGGCTCTGGATCATGGCTAAAGCCTCTGTGGCAGTCATTCTTCTTGCTGACATTGTTCTGATATTCTCTTTTCAATATTTCAATTTGGTTTTAGCTCGAAGCTAGATTTCAGCTTTGCAATAGACTAAACAAACAACAAGAGAAATTGTTGCTAGTCAACGGTGTTGCATCTTCAAGAGCGGGAAAAAGGAGCAACCGACACACGGTCTGTAATGCATACGGTCCGTATGACTATTATGGCCATTCAAGGTAGAAATACTCAAAACTCTTTTGTGTCTTGTAATTTTAATAAAATAACAATGATAGAATAAAATATAGACACATTTAGGAAAAGTCAGGGTCCTATTACATGGGTTTTATTTCAACAAAGTTATTACATTGCAAAATTTTAAAACAGTCAAAATGACTGCCTTGGGAGTTCTAGTGTTAAGGGCACGATTGAGGGAGGATGTTGTTACTGCTGTCAGGCCACTGCGGACACCATAAATGTTACTGTTAATTCAAAGATTTACACACAGGCTCAGTGCCAATCCTATTAAGTTGTCTCGATGACTACACAGCTAGCTTCTGAGGCAGCAAAAAAAAGAAGAAAAAAATTTATAAGTGACTAAATAGAAATGTGCACGCTAGCATGCACAAATAGGTTTCTCAGATGAAGCACAGAAAAATCAGCTAATGCTCACAGTTTTGATTTAATTTATGGTAAATATGCTGCAATGCAAATTTTCATGAACAAAAAAAACAGCACTTGGATGGAAAAAAGTAACTTGAGTTAAACCCTTAAAGCATTCAGGGACTGCCTATAGTTGAGAAGAGCATGCAATGCTACCTTATATTTCGGTTAAAATGAGATGTGATAACACAGCATAATTGTGATGTCCTTAGTTCTGAATTGATCCACCTAAAAATGCTGTCTAGGAAGGGTTTTGACTACACATTCACACGGCACTTCGTAACTTATGTTTTGGTGAATTGGTGGCTAACCTTGGACGCATGTACACCTGAGGAGACCTCCGAAACAAAATTAGGAGCCTTTAAAATAGCATAATAGGGGCACTTTAAAACCCTCCCAGAATAGGTGCTCCGATAAGGATGTGGAACATCTATCCTGTCTTGGCCAAAAAAAACTTGGTAGCTGAATTTGTGCTTTTGATAAGTGTGGTTACTGTTTTCCCTCAGTCGAGCATGCATCACGGGCCAGGGGTGCTCTGGGGACAGAAGGTATGCAGGAACGCACTGGAACTCACACCACACTGACTTCCAGTTTACAGACTGTACGGTCTGAAACAGTCTGTGTGATTCTAGTCCATCCTTCAGGTTTGCCTAAAGGCAACAGAGCTAATTTAGCCCATCTCTCACAGGCTGTCACATGCTCCCTTCCTCTCATTCTCCTCACAGGGGTGTCATTGCTGTTACGTAATTACTAGCTAGCTGACATACAAGAAGCGAGGAGAATAAAAAGCACTTTGAGGAAGAGGACAGGGAGTGTTTTGCTTGGTTCTTTTCCATTCAACTGAAATTGCATTGCTTTAGGCATTCAGGCTGACTGGAAGAATGACAGCAGAGCTTTCTCACATCAGTCCTGTTTATGGTCACAAAAATGGCAAAGACTTCAGTTATGACAGATCAGGATGACAGAATGACAGCTTGACAGCTTTTCAAGTCAGCTTGTAATGGCTGTGTCAGGGTAACTAACCCGTGCTAACGTGGTCAAAACAGGTGACCCAGAGAAAATAAAATACCCTGGGTGTAAATACTGTGAACAAAAGAGAAACTACTCATTTGAAATCAAATTCAACAAGTTAAACAAGTTAAGCTCAGCATTTGTGGCATAATGTTAAATCTGTCACTTCTCTTTTTTTGAAGACACTTACATTGGAAGTAAACGGGACAATCCGAAAACAATAAAATACTCAGACAAACAATATGTGTGCTAAGGCGATTTTAAAGGGGGAACAAAAATCTTTTTCTGTGTAAAGTTAAAATGTTACAACTTTGTTGACAATGTAATGCCTAAAGCCCTAAAACGACTGTAAACAAAAAAAAAAAAAACTGTACAAATGACAAACAGCATTACAGCTCAAATAAATATGGACAAATAAATAGTTGTATCCTCCAAAAATTGTCCCCGTTCACTTCCATTGTAAGTACCAATGTAGGCCTTTTAAAAAATAAATAAAACTAGGAACAAATTAGAATTCATTTTTGTGTTAATAATCATTAAGCAAAAAATGCTGTTGATTGAGTTGAACTTGACTTCCCCTAATATAATTTTTTTTTTTTTTAAAGGGAGAATACAGTATCCAAAGGGAATAGAGAAGTAATAAGAGTTCACAAAAACAAAAGCATGACATTTGTGTTTTACACTCCAGAATGACTTGGCTTGTATTGAACCAGGAGTAGTCATGAAACTACACACACCAAGTTATTTTAAGAGATTCAATTAAATGCCCCAGATTTATTCCTATAACTTTTTAGAAAGAAATACAGGGGACCAGTCACTACCCAAGTGAAAATATCAGAGGTCAGGCCAAAGTAAACATGCAGCCGTCTTCACATTGCTACAAAAATGCAGAATATTTGTGGTCTTCAAATATTAGTGTAGCGATATATGTTGACAAAGCAATATATAAGGGAAGCAATTCTGAAAGATGACAATGTGGAAAAAATGTTAAATGGATGCAAAATGAGTGCAGCAAAGGTTTTCTACGCTGCAGTATTTGACAAAAGGGTACGTTACCTCAGAAAATGACCTTTACTAAAATAGTTTAGCTACAAAATCTGATAATCAGTTTATAGAGCCCCTGCGTCCTGATTCTTAACACAGGAGGCCCTTTTTTCCGCTCCCGTGGATCTTTTCCAGGTTTCCAGAGATCTTATTCCACAAGCTAATCAAAATACTAATAAATCAGTCTCTAATCTGGACTACTAACAGTGACCCTGCACATACAATATACTGTAGACACAGCAAACAATATGAAAGGTATTCAGCGCACACACTCACCGCTGTCCTTGCTGCTGTTCTCCTCGATGGTCATCTGTTCCGCCAGCTCCGAGAGAGACTCATCGATCGTCTGGCTTCCACGCAGAGTGAGTGACAAACGTCTCTTAAACCTCTTCATCCTCTCCATGGGCCTCTGTGGCAGGGGGGGCCTGTGGGAACACACACACACACACCGTGTTAATCATCATCGGCCTGCGAATACCTGCGGGTTATGCAGCGTTCAGACTTCTTTTCATTAAAAATTTACTTTTTTTTTACTATTATTAAGTTCAGTGGCATTGTGGCTTAAGCGCAGCCTAAAAAGAAGAATATGCGTTACATAGAGGGAGTAAATCATGCTTTTCACTTCGACAAAGTTTTTGAATACTTTGCATTTGTTTTAGCTGTTAGAGTTTAGGCTAGTTCATGGAGATGACAATTTAAATCAAAATTGCTGTTCTGCAACTTTAAGTGCATGCCAATTAAAATTTACTGTACTTCTCTTCCAGGAAAACAGACCAAAATAGTGATGACTCATCTAGTACGCACAAGTGTACTCCAATAAAATGTTCACTAAAAAGAGAACATCCCATCCCCCTAATAATGGTTTCTGGCTAGTAGCAAAAGCAAATAACAGCTTGCCAGTGCATCTTCGGCAGTAATACTTGTACATTCCCATTTACTTTACCAACCATTTCTGGAATTAAAGTCTTTATTGCATTTTTACCAAGCTTTGACATACTGGCTATTTTTCAGAGCCCTTCAATAACTTCCTGTTGGGGAAAAAATGGTTGTCAAACCATTTCATGGAGTCCTAAGAATAAAGATCAATGTGGAGGCCTCGTTTTGTTGTGAATATTTGTAAGTTCCAGTGGGATAGTTTTTGATGTAAACAGCAGGACTTTGACTTACATGTGCCAAGAATAAATGAAAAAAAAAAGCCTCATTAATAATTGAAATCCTTTTAATCAAATATTCATGAGACTGTATTTTGTTTTTATAGGCACTTCAACACATGGTTGTGCATTATTAAAACACACACTCCCACATGCGCCATAATTCCCTTTACACCAATGCATTTTCTTAAAATAAATAACAGCAATGAGACATGCAATAAAAAAAATAAAAAGATAGTTCTGATTGAATGAGCCAAAGGTAGTCTGAATGTAAAAATTGGAAAAATTATGCAAAAATAAACATCCAATATTTAATTTATTTAAAAAATAAATTGAAATAAACACCACATGTATGAATAACAAATAAATAGAAATATAAATTTATTTAAAATATATTTTAAATTAATAAATGCATTTAAAAAATAAATTAATCTGTCATCCTTAATAATTATTAAACATACATTGTTATCTTAGTCTAATATTGGTGTTGCCATTTTATAATAGCAATAAACTACTCAAGGGCATGCATAATGGTGATTTAAACAAGATTAAAGTGTGCAAAATAACACCCCTTAAACATACGATCACTCATGCTTGGGTTCTCTAAAGGCTACACCTTTAATGTGTGTGTGCTTGTGTATTTCTCTCAATACATGCTGACTTTGCACCGTTTTAGGCAGGAAACACCTTGCTATGGGAGGCAGCGGGACTCTTTCTGTCTATTGTATTGCCACCGTCAGACTACACGCACCCAAATTCACACAGGACTTGAAGGTTTGTTGCGTTCACAAAGCGAGGTACAAATGAAACCTCCAAGGTTCTCCTAGTCTACCAAAAGTACAGCACATACTGATAACATTCGGCCCCTATGAAGAGCCGGGTCACTGTATTCATAAACAGACGCACAAAAGACTATCAGGTTATAGTGAGATGGCTTTTCTCATGTGGTGTCTGATTTCAGGACGCTGCAAAGTGGGAAATGTGCATGCAAAGATCACACTACAGGAAACGGCCGGTCAGAGCATCTGTGATTGGTCCCTCTCGAATACAATCACGCAGACACACCATCTGTCCATCTGACACAGACTAAAGGAAGGGGGGGGTGACCGAGCCCCCATATGAGGGATTAGACGACTGGTACAGGCCAATATAGAACCGACAGACAGTATAATGTCCACGCTGACAGAGCACATCTTCTCAAACAGCTGGTATCTCATTCTGCTACGTAGGGCAGCAGGGTCCAGTCACACCCAGAGGCCACAAGCGTGTGTTTTCATGGGCTTGTGTTTGAACAGTTGGCATTCCTGTGCCAGACCTGCTAGGACAGGGCACAACCAGCCTGAACACACACATACAGACACTTTAACACTCTGCAAAAATCACCATCCTGTTCATTAAAGACATGCAGAAGTGATTCCCCATCATGCAATGTCAGGCTTTGGCTGCGTCTACATTCATCTGGATAGTGGATACATCTGAAAACTGCATTTTCATTTCAAAACACTTTGTCCAAACTAGCATTTTCCAAAAGTTACTCGCGCAGACTGAAAAAGCTTAAATCATCTTACTTACATATGTGTAAAAAAACCTAATAAAAGTTCATTGCAATGATACCGAGAGTCCAGAGCAGACAAAGTTTTTGCTGTATTCTTCAGCCATGATCATTTTATCATCAACATATTTTGCACTCAATTGCACAAAAACGCAATTGCTCTCATGCTTTGATGCAGAAAGGCAATGATGACCGGTCATCTTTTAAGGGATGTAATTCAAGTGAACAGCACATACTGTAGCTGGCACATGTTGGTATAACAAAAGATATCTATAGGTACAATATGCAATACATGACTAAAAGTGTCATCGTTTTCAAATACCTCCGCTTTCATAGTCCGCACTACAATTCGAAAATGGCGTTTTCAAATAGGTAGGACAAAACACTATTTCAGTGTGAACAGAAGGCCAAAACAAGAGAAAAAAATGCTTTTTTAAATGTATTCAGATTATTGCCTTTAATGTTGGCCTACAGGGACTTTACGGCGAGCCTTTTCTACTCGTCTCCAGTCTAGCTCATTAAAAAAAAAAACTACAAACGCATCGCTAAGTGGGCATACTTTTTCTTGTTTTTTCTCTTGGTTTGCACACGTCCTTTTTCGGTGGAGGACACAGACACTGTTGTTTCAGTGACACACTGCATTCTTGGCCAATGAGCGAAGAGCATTGAGGACAGTGTTGTCTATTGTCACCCCGCCCCCTCCCGTCATTAACCCCTCGGTCTGGTGCAACATCCCTCTCCAGACAGCAGCTCTCCGGGATCACGCTAGGAAAGTGGGCTGCTGGAGGGGGGAAAAGTAGGCCTCAAAAATATGCAAATATGGTTACAGCTCATTTAATATGCATGTTGTGGGTGGGGCATGTGGTCTATGGTGATTTCATAAAGTGTAATCATATTTTTGTTGAAAATGAGGCTGTAAGGCCCTAAGTCACAAGTCAGTTTTTTATCCGCATGACCCTGACATACACCGCTGTTCAAAAGGTTGAGGTTGGTAAGATTTTAAAATGTTATTATTTAAATGTTCTTATGCTAACCCAGTCTGCAATTATTTGGTCAAAAACACAGTAAAACTGAAAAATTATGAGATACTATTACAAATTAAATAAACTGTTTACTATTTGAATATATTTTAGAAATGTAATTTATTCCTGTGCTGTGATGGAACATCATAACTCAAGTGTCACATGATCCTTCAGAAAACCCTCCTAGATAACCATTTCTTCTTATTATCAATGTTGAAAACAGTTGTGCTGCATAATATGTTGAGGAAACAGTGATAATTTCACTGGATTCCAGCATTCCAGCATTTAAAAAAAATATATATAGAAATCTTTTAAAACATTATAAATATCTTTACTGTCACTTTTGATCAATTTAATCTGTCACTGCTAAATGAAATATTAATCTTTTTTCCTTTTTTAAATCGTACAGATCTCAAACTTTTGAATGGTAGCATATTTAACCATTATCCAACAAATAAAAAAAAAAAATCTGGTTTTCTATATTGACGTATAAACCTGAGTCAAAGCAACGCTCACCATCACAATGCTACAGTGTTTTGGTTGCTTAATGACCCAAGTCAAAAGAACCAAACTCTCAAGTCTCTATAAATGTTTACATGAACTTTAAAGGTTAGACTAAACTAATAATTAGTCTATTCTGAGTCTATTCTTTAGTCAAATGAAATAATGAGCAACAATAATAGTACTGATTGACCTAAGCAAACATTAATAATATAAATAGCAAGTTCAAGATCTACATAGAGACAAAAGCAAACATTAATAATATAAATAGCAAGTTCAAGCTCTACATAGAGACAAAAGCATCCATTAGTAAAGCACAGCTTGTCAGAAACAGCTGAATGTACAGGGACAGTTGCATAAACTTGTTAGACACTATGTTAAGAACTATAGAACGATGTCTTAAAAAAGGTTGGTATAATCTGAATTAGAAAAGTGAGACTGATTGCCCCTTTGTCAAACTAGTTCTTATGTAACTGTTAAAGTTATGACCAGTCTTGAAGAAAATATTTAGACGACTAACATGTAAGAATAGTCTGGGCAGTTTATGCAACTAGCCACTGCTGTTCCGCTATTGTCTCTTTTGCTCTTTTTATCTTTCAGTGTGTTGCCATATGAGTAGTTTTACAGTCGTCCAATCATAAACGAGCATGTGAATCAAACGCCGGGAGAGAATCTGTTTACATCCCCCGGGCCAGGATTAGCCCACCTCTTCTGTACATGCTCCTCATGAGAGATAAGGGGTCTTTGTGTGGCAATGAGAGGGCGCATTACCCACACCATAACAAAACCCTCATGTGCCTCGTGTGGGCTGGGGAGGCACGGGAGAAGATAATACATCACAAACTCACAGTGGCACAAACACATGCACTCACACAAACCTGCAGAGCTTGCAAACACAAACACTTTTCACCCAATAACACAGAGACAAAACACCAGCACCGAGGACTGCTGCTGGCCCCAGCTCCAGCTGAATTCTGGGACGACCCTGCAGCCGGGTGGCACCACAGACCGAGGGCAATTAGACCAGGAAGGCCTGACATCAAACATCACACCAGCCAAGAGGCATCAAACAGCAAGCTAATTAACCACAGCCTGGAGAGACAGAAACTGGGTTAGCCAGCTAAACAGACGCACTAAGATACCCAAAAAGCATCAAACCGCACTGTTTGTGTTGCAGAAACCTCAAATTAGAGATGTCG